ACGAAAAACATAATAAAAGTAATAAAAGTCATAGATTTAGAAAAGATAGGTGAAAGAAGAATTATAAGGAAGATTCGTCAGGTCTTCGTCTTCCTTTCTCCGTTCTCTCGCTCCTCCTCCTCTAAGATTGTGTTGAAAAAAAGTCCTTTGATTCGTGTTTGGTTTGCCCTTAAATAGATGTCCCAACTTGGTAGAAGATTTTAGGTTTTCTTGTGTGATTAAAAGTCCAAAATTGTTTCTAGCGTGTTTTCACACGGCCGCGCGAGAATGAGTGCAATTCTCACACGGCCGCGCGAGATTCGCCGAAACGTTCTGCCCAAATTCTGCAGTTGGCGCGGCCGCGCCAAAAATAGGCTAAATTTGGCACGGCCGCGCCGGGCCAATTTTCAGCATATTTTTGTTTTCTTCCGTTTTTGCCCATTTTTTACCTTTTTTGGCTCGTTTCATCCTTGGAACTCCCAAATCGTCAAGTTGTACCTAAAATACAATAAACCATTCATTAAGCTCCATTAAATCAATAAGAGTATACAAGATATCCTCGTAAGAAAGCATACATTGAGTGTAAAATATACACTCAACAGACTCTAATTAGGTTGATGAGAAATAAGTTTTTGCTACACGCCTATTTCACGTGAAGAGAAAATATTTTTCTCTTCTTATTTTCTCTCTAGGTTTCTCGATTATAGATTTAGATTTCTTCAAGTACAAGTCCGCCCTTGTAGAAGAATTATTAATTCTGGATATACAATAGAAGATTATATCGATTACAAATTTAGATTTCTTCAAGTACAAGTCCACCCTTGTAGAAGAATTATTAATTCTGGATATACAATAGAAGATTATAGGTTTTTAGACCAAACATTTATTCCCGAAATTTCTGAGCAGTCCTGCGAAGAAATTCACCATAAATTAACTGTTCGTCCGATAGGCTTGAAATTTATACAGTAGTTTCCTAACCCATAGAAATATAAGCCGTCTGAAGGATTTCTTAATCAGATCAACCATCTCGGAGATATAGGTGAAGGAAGAGGGGTGTAAATTTCTGGACAACAGTTTTTCGAGGATTGAAGGCTTGGTGTGGATCATCGTTCGTGCGCCGATGATAGAAACGAATCTGCTCACTAAAACTGTAAGTTGCAATTAGATTTATTCCGCTTTTAAACGAATCTAATCAAAGCATGTTAATAAAATTAAAACCGGCTAATTTAGAATCTCTTGCGAATTTTCATTGAATCATGGGCTTCACATCCCAACATCTTTTTCAAAATCATGCTTACAATAATTATAAAATCCCCACATAACATCACAAATATTAATCAAGTACCACATATTTATTATTAGAGTATATTATATTATTAGATATTATATGATATTAGGATTCTATTATGATCCGGTTACCTAGATTAGTTAGGATTTAATTACCTAGTCAAACTCTATTACCTCGTATTATTTCTCTATATATAATCTATGTAATCAATCCATAACATAATGGGGGTTTCTATTATATTACGTATTATTATTTCTCTCTTTCTCATATTCTATTCTTCCTATATGGTATCAGAGCACCAGATTTTTTAACTTAGTCGCCCTTACTTCTCCATGGCAGTGACCACCCAATTTTCTCCCTCCCCCGGTGGTGGTATTCTTAAATATCTTTCTTTTTCTATCTTTTCCATGAACACCACCCGAATTTTCTCCCTCTCCCGGTGGTCTATCTTCTCTATTTTTTCCGTTCTTCTTCTTCCTCCTTTCTTTTCCATGGCCTAAAACCTAGCCGCCGCCTTTCTTCTTCTCCATGGCCGGCGACCACCAAACCAATTATCTCCCTCCCGGTGGTGGTACTTTTCTCTCTATATTTATTTTTCTATCAGATCCATGAACACCACCCAATTTTCTCCCTCCCCCGGTGGTGGTAACTTATATTATTTTCCGACATCTTCTTCTTAGTCGGTTAATCTATTTTTTTCTCTTTTTAATCCCTATCTTCTTTTAATTATTCTTCTTCCCTCTCTCATCTCATCTCTCTATCTCGATAAAAAAAAAAAAAAAAAAAAAAAAAAAAAAAAAAAGTTGCTTATTTTTCTCTCAGCCGTTATTATTATTATTTTATTTTTTTTATCAATTGGACAGATATTTCTACAGAGGAATTCTCTAGCACTGTGTTCCGCGGTTTATGTCCCGTCTTCACTCTTGAAGTTTATTCGTTCCGACTGCGGGAGCGTGTTAGCAAGTGATTGTCCAGTCTTCACGTTCGTCACGTTTCGACTGCGGGGGCGTATTAGAGTATATTATATTATTAGATATTATAGGATATTAGGATTCTATTATGATTCGGTTACCTAGATTAGTTAGGATTTAGTTACATAGTCAAACTATATTACCTCGTATTATTTCTCTATATATATTCCATTTAATCAACCCATAATATAATGGGGGTTTCCATTACGTATTATTAATTCTCTTATTCTCCAATTCTGTTATTCCTATATTTATAATTTGGAAATAATTCACACACATATACACACACAGCCACACACGGCACACACTCACATATAATCACACATAAAACACATTAGTATACCACCATTTAATACCTAAATCATGCTTGAAAAGCAAGCATCCCTTTTTATCCTTCATTTAATGAACTTATTACCACTTCTAGGCAACAATTTCATTTCAATAAATTTCCAGCAGTAATTAAACACATACTGGCAGTAATTTAAGATACACAATCCCAATTTTCATCACTCATAAACACTTATTCAAAGACAAGTAATATAAAGCACAAAACATCATAAATGGCATGCGTAATGTCCATATTTCGAAATAATAGTAAACCAATTACAAAAAAATCCCAAATTAAATGCTAGAGTTCCTAATTGACCCAAGTTTTAGTTTCTGCAATTATTTAAAAAATTCATAAAATTTCGAATTTTTTGAATTAAAAACTAGAAAAAATCCCTTTTTCTTCTAAAACTCCAAAACTCTAGTATAACCTTAATTAACTTTGAATCCTTCATAAAGAAACTTTATTCTAATTTAATACTTGTTGGAAAACAGATTTACAAATTTAGAAGTGACTGATTTTTCGGAAATTACAGTTTTGACCCCAAAGTTTCAAGATTTACACATGGAACCACACTAAGAGATCAAAATCCGATTTTTCATGTAAAACTTCTAACAATCTGAAACTTTAGTTTAATATATGCAGAAAACAAAGTTAAAAAGTTACTTGAGGCTAAAATTTCGAAAATTTCATATTTTACCCCAAAAATTCTAGATCTATACATGCAAGACCACTAGAAGTGGAAAATCATTTTTTCTTGCACAACACTTTTCAAATCAAAAATCCTTACTCAATAAATGCTGAAATCATAACTAGGACTGACTTCTTCAAAATTATGGATTTGGCCCAAAAATCTTTAGATCTATACATGCAACCCCATAAAAGTTCAAAAAAATATTTTTTTCTTGCAACACCTCTTAAAAATCCGAAATTCTTTAAGCTCTTGACCAATAAAACTTGTATCTACCCTCTACAAACATAAATGATGCATGCAAGAACAAGAAATTAACGATCAACACAACTTTTCCATTTTCCCCAAAAATCCCTAATTTTTTTCGAAATCCTTCCAAGCCTTTTAAGAAATTTTGAAAACCCTTTTTTGTAATATTGACACCCTTTAATTGCAGCAAGAAATCGAGATTTCTTACCTATTAGCCGAAGAAAAGAAAACAACCGAAGGAAGAGTGCTTCAAATACCAAAATCGAGCCAAGCAACCTTGATGGTGAAAGAGAGGGTATGAGCTTCTAAGAGTGAGGTGTTGTTTTCTCTCGTGAGAAGACAAGAGGTTTTGATGGTGTTTTTGGTGTACTCTAAGGCTAGAATTAAATAGGAGACTTTCATTTTGATTTTTGGATTTCTTTGAAAATGGGAGTTGAGGTGGAAGGAAAAGATAGCCGATGGTGGTGGTGGTGTTTTGGTGGTGAGAGGAGGAGAAGACAAATAGGGAGGATTAGGTGTTGGGAGAAGAAGAATGAAGAGTGTCTCTTCATCGTACTAAGCTTCTTTTGAATGTATGATTAGAGAAAATGATGACTAATTGCCACGTGAAAAGGCATGCAAATTATTGATTAAATTATTGTATGTAGTGTATATATATATATATATATATATATATATATATATATATATATATATATATAAAATTCACCTGAATGATTTCATGAAATCATCAAATTCCAAACATATAAAAATAATCAACCAATGAATTAAATAAGACATGTAATTATTCACGTAAGTCACATAATTATTTTCACGTAAAAGTCTCACATAGATTTTTTTTTTTTTTTTTTGGGCTTAGAGAGATTAAATTCGGGTTTTAGGATTTTGGAAAGGTGGGGTGTTACGAACTTTAACTATACATAATTACTTCAATTAATACTTTATTGTAAATTGTTGAGTTTAACCGATTCAAATATTTTAATATTGCCTACGAATTGAAATGACTTTAGCTTAATCTTTTCAAATCTTTGAATATTGTTTTCGAACTGAAAACACATGAGCTTAATTGATTCAAATCTTATGATTTACGATTCAATTCTTTCGAAATTCATTTTTAAATTACACTGGTTAGATCCGCATTTCCTTAGATTTTTAAAATTTATTATATAAATTTGGTAATATTGAACATTTTCAATATATAATAATAATTATATGAGAATTAGAAATTTATTTAACATTATTTATGTAAGTTTTATAATCATTATCCATTGTACCGTTGTAATATATATGCTTATTTTTAGGTAATTTTCAATAATGGGTTATGTCCTAATGGTAAGAATTCTTGTATGTTTTAAGTGGTATAATTGAATGCTTAATCGACGGTAAAGAATAAACAAGTTGCTAAATGTACAAGCTACCACTAAATATTCCCCACTTATTTTATTGGTTTAGACGTCTAAATGAATAGGATTTTTCTTTTGCTTTGCATCTTGCTGCAAAAGCTGGAAATGAATCAACGGTGAAAACCCTAGTTTCGCAATCTCAAGATGTAGCGGGAGGAGGGAACAATAATTTATTAAGGGCCAAGAATGTGAGAGGAAACATAGCCTTGCATGAAACGTTGATCAACGGCCGGGATTCGATTGCTCTATATTGGATTGAAAAAGACCCCGAGGTATCGTATTATGAAAACAAAGAAGGAGAATCGGCATTGTACTTGGCGGCCAAAGCTGGTTCTGCAGAATGCGTCTCTTAATCGCAAATCAACAGAAAGTACTCACCCATTCAAGCAGCTATAGAGGGGAAGAAAAGAGGTACATATTTTTAATTCAACATTTTCCCATCTTCTCTGGTGTTCATCATATCCTATTAATTAAGCAACAAAGAATTAATAAGAAGAAACAATGCTCTTTTTAGTCAATCAAGCACTTGAAAAAAGCTTACTGTTAATTACAATTAATATATATATATATATATATATATATATATATATATATATATATATATATGTATATACATATTGTTGAGTGTATATTTTACACTCAATGTATACTTTCTTACGAGGACTTTTGTATACTTTTATTAATTTAATGGTGCTTAATGAGTAGTTTATTGTATTTTAGGTACAACTTGACGATTTGGGAGTTCCAAGGATGAAACGAGCCAAAAAGTTCAAAAACGGGCAAAAACGGAATAAAACAATCGGATGCTGAAAATTGGCCTGCGCGGCTGTGCCAAATTTAGCCTATTTTTGGCGCGGCCGTGCCAACACTGCAGAATTCGGGTATAAAGTTTCGGCGATTCTCGCGCGAGAATTGCTCTGATTCTTGCGCGGCCATGTGAAAACACGCTGGAGACAATTTTGGACTTTTAATCACACAAGGAAACCTAAAATCTTCTACCGAGTTGGGACATCTATTTAAGGGCAAACCAAGCACGAATAAGAAGACTTTTTACACAATTCACTACGTTTTGTCATAATGTATAAAAATTTGCATATTGAACTGATGTTGTCTCTGTTTAATTTGTTCATGCAGCGTTTGACTTGGGCTGCCTTGAAAGCTGGTGGCACCCCTCATTCTCCGACTGGGAATACAATAGGTAGACAGAACCCAAAGAAGAGTTCGAACTACACCATGTACGTACACCTCCATTGTAGTGGCTGTGACTCTCATTTGGGCTCAATTAGGTGACATCAAATTAGCACTGAATGCACTCACTTTTGCAGTGCCATTGCTCGGGATTGCTCTTTGCATGATGTCAATTGTTTTCTTAGTAGTCAGCAAACTCAGATGGCTAAGTACTGCCGTACTTGTCATGGCTATTGTATTTCTTGTTATTATGTTCATCATCCTCGTTCCAATGTGCGGTTCACATACTTCAAGTAATCGGATAGTACGCTATCTGTCCTACTATCCCTTCTATCTGTTGATATTAGCAAGCAGCAGCTAAGCCAAAGAAGTCATCTTGCATGAAATCGAGATGTTTGCTTGTATTGCTAATCCATTTTTTTCTTAATCGACTATTATAAATTATTATATATCCAGCCATAATTTAGATTCTCTTTATGCTTGCTGCTAAGATGAAATTAGTCGGTAGAAGATTATTCAGTTTTATGAAGAACTCAATTGTGTAATTACACAATCCCCAAAAAACTAAAAAGTTATTGTACTAACCAAATATCAAACGAGATCCAATATTTACTTAAACTGTGGTTAATCTTACCAACCAAACGAGGTTTGGAGAATAATACGTAGTGTAGCTATATCATATAAGGGATTATTTTGGAGACCCCCTTATTTTCAAAATATATATAACTAACTACCATGTTGTTTACACCCTAATGCAAATCCCCTCCATTTGGATAATAATTTGACATACCCCTTAGCCCATCCTGAAGTATATATCCAGCATACCATTTTAAATCAATTTTAAACCCTAGCCAACCCATATCGTCTCTATCTGCCTCTCTCAGAGATTCAAATCCCTTCCCCCAAGGTCTCTAACCGGCGATATAGCTTCCCAGAGTCATAACTCTCTCTTCAGTGGTCGGAATTCGATGGTTCAACTATTGTTGGATTCCTCTCTTCGAACTCTTTCTTTTGGTGGTGATTTCATTCAGTTTGGAGTGCAGGATCTGTTTCTGCAATTTTTTTCGGTCGGCGTATTTCGACGATGGTGGTCTTACCAGAGGTGTAATTTGTTTTCGCAGTAGGAATTTGACGGGCTACCCACCGTTGGATTCCTCTCGTCGGGATCTATATTTTGATGTCAATTTCATTCATTTTTATATTGTCAGACTTATTTCTATATTTTTTTGCATTTGTGAGCGCGGAACTTTGGGTGGTCAACGGCAGCTAGGGTTTTTGGTAGGAGGTGCTTGGGGTGAGAAATCATTGACGGTTTGATCTAAAATTCGCAGTTGTGGCCTCTCTCACTCTCTCTCTCTCTCTATCTCTCGATCTCTTAGTGTTTGTTGATTTTTTAGTGCTTTGATCGGCGGCGGAGCTAGGATTTGTAGTAAGGGTAGGATAAAATTTTACAGGGATTCAGAGATAAAGCCCCTGAATTTTTTTAATAGTTTTTTTTTTCGAAAATATAGAGTATAATAAATAGAAATTTGTATATTTTAATTAAATTATTTATATATATATATATATATATATATATATATATATATATATATATATATATATATATATATATATATATAATTGTATATTGTCCAAAATATAATTATTAGAGCTCTTTAAACTATATTACAAATCTGTTGAGTAGGCTAATTAAATTGAATTAAGATTAAAATAGTGTATAAAAATGATAACTAAACATAATTAGTATTAAAATATTTCAAAAAAAAAATAAACCAGGGTGGGCTTCAGCCCACCCACACCTTCAACGTGTTTGATATTTTTTTTAATTTTTGTTGATTTGCACTATGATAAATTTTTTTTTGTTTTAAATTTTGCAACTGCAGCTGAACGAAAGCCATTGATCCTTTCCTTGAAGGTGTCAAATTTTTTTGTTGAAGTTACATCTGCTTAGTTCACAAACCGTATACATTACTGTACATTACTAAATTAATATAGTAACATGTACTTACATTGTGAATTTTCGATTTGTATTTTATTGGTTATGAGGTGATTTATAATATAAATATTGAAATTTGTAAATTTTTGTTGTTGGGATTTATAAATTTCTTTTGTATAACCTAGTATTCGTGTGTGTGTATATAATTGATCGACTAAAAATATGGGGTGAAAAAAAAAAAACATAACTTCGCATTATTGTAGTTTACTACAGTTACATGTAGTTATTTTCAATACAGTAAACATATTTATTTGAAAATAAAAATAAAAATAAAAATTTTAAAAAAACAATTAAATAAAAAAAATTATAATTTTAGAAAATTTTAAAAATTATATATATATATATATATATATATATATATATATATATATATATATATATATATATATATATATATATATATATATATATATATATATATATATATATATATATATATATATATATATATATATATATATATATATATATATATATATATATATATATATATATATATATATATATATATATATATATATATATATATATATATATATATATATATATATATATATATATATATATATATATATATATATATATATATATATATATATATATATATATATATATATATTTATATATATATATATATTGAGATATATATTTTTATATATATATAATAAGAGGGATATATATATATATATACACACACACACACACACACTCTCACACACACACACACAGCGCACACGACACGCCGGCGCGCACACACTTCACACGAAACAAAAATATCTTTCACTCCCACACACCGAGTGCGCGGGGGGATCAGTTATACATTTTTCGGCTCCCTCAAAAAAAAAAAAA